CAGGCAGACAGGCAGACAGGCAGACAGGCAGACAGGCAGACAGAGGGGCGGGGGATGTAGTCTGACCCCCGGGACAGAGCCGCAGTGCCCACAGTGGCTTCCTCAGCCCCTCCCGCCTCTCCCTGAGGGGCTCTTACCATGGGGTGGTCAGGAGGGGCCTGGTCCTGGGGTGTCAGGAAGAGCAGCCTTGTCCCTGTCCCTTCTTCCCTGTCTCTCTGCTCCTTGGCTGTCAACAGCTGCAGCCTGTTGTCCTCCTGCTGCCTCCAGCACGGTTTAGGCGCCCCTCCCCCCCCACTGACTGGACCCTCCACAGCCGTGAGCCAGACCTTTCTTCTGTCCAGCTGTTTCTCTCAGGCATTTTGTCACAGTAAACCAAAGCTGTGTAACAAACCTGCCAATCACTTACCCTGACAGGGAAAACAACTCCACAGAGGGCAACACCCCCCTCACCCCACAGCACCTGGCTCCCTTCTGGGGCTCTCACACCCATGGCACAGCGTCCTTGGTCACCACCGCAGTGCCTTCCTCACCCTGGCTTAGCCTCAAGCCCAGCGAGGGGAAAGAGGCATCTAGGACCTGGCCAACCTCTTTGACCCACGGGAGCTGGCTGTGGCTCCTGAGCATGCAGGTGGACATGGCACGGCTGAGGACATCAGCGCCCTATTTGCCTCCCCCTCATGCACCCGCTGTCTGCAAGCGCCCACAAACATGATCTCCACCCTGCAGAGGCACCTCCGTCTCCTCAGGTAGACAGGATGACCCGGCCTCCTCTCCCCGCAGGGCACATACCTGGGATGTGCAGGGTGGTGCCAGGCACTGTGTGTGAGTGTGTGTGAGTGTGTGTGACTGTGAGTGTGACTAACATTTAGGAAGACCCTCTGAGGCTCTTTTTAGATGTCATTTTCATGGAGAAGCTCAGCATATGTAGTTTTTGTAAAGCAAACAATATTTTCAGCACCTCAGGAGACCTCTATCTATAGAAGACGTAGAGCACAGTGCTAAGGAGGCAACCTTCTTTCTCTTGTTTTTTTTTTTTTTTTTATCTAGTTGACTTGTTTGACAAAACCTGCTACTCAAAAGAGGACACCAAGCTGGTGCAGTGACACATACCTGTCATCCCAGTGCTTGGAAGGCTGAGCCAGTAGGATTGCTGAGAGTTCAAGGCTGGCTTGGGCTACATAGTGAGTTCAAGACTAGCCTGAACTACATGGCAAGACCCTGGCTCAAAAACAGAAAAAAGGCTAGGAGTGATGGGGCACACCTATAATCCCAGCACTCTGGAGGTTGAGGCAGGAGGATTGTTGTGAGTTCGAGACCAGCCTGGGCTACAAAGTGAGCTCAAGCCCAGCCTGAACTGCACAGAGAGATCCTGTCTCAAAAAAGACAGAAACAAACAAACAAAC